ACCTCCAAGAAGATCTAGAAAGTAGATCCCCTAATTTGGGGCCCTATACTACTAAGGGTACTAAGGGATCCTCCCTTTTTGGATCCTCCCGGGGTCTGGGGATGGAAGTAACTTCCGGAGAAGCCTCGTCCTCGATTGGATTCAGGCTGCAAGTGCTGTAGACCTCACTCCACAGGGATGAAAGAGGGGAAATTCGGCGTCTCAGTAGGGGTTGATGTTTCCTATGTTCCTATACTACATGATATGATATGACATGACATATTATCAATGCAGTGTTAATAACTCATATATACACCCTTTAAACCCAAAGCCCTAAGGATTGATTTGGGCTCATGAACTCGATGGCCCGTCCTTACCGGTTGCCTAGCTTCGGATTCCTGCTTAGGGTTTAGGGTTTGGGGCTTAGGCTTCGAGGTCGGAAGGCCGTTTCAGCTTGTCCTGGCCAAATTCCCTGACTTAAGGCTTCAGGCTGAAGATGTGGACTCTGGGGTGGGGTGAGTTGGGTTGCAGCATGCAGCCCCCAAACCCAGGACCCTCAACTAAAAACACTGTGAGCCCTGGTTTCCGAAAAAAAACTGATAAGTACATCCCAAACCCCAACACAACACTAATAGTATTCAGGCGTCTATGCCACTTATATTCGGTGCTGTTGCTTACCTCCAAAACCCTGACTCTCACCCAACCCGCTTCTGAACACCCTGAGCCCCAAACCCCTGAACCCCTGAACCCCTAAACCACCGAAACCCTATACCCTACTTGGAGGTTCAGGGGTAGTTATAAGTGGGGCTATAAGTAGGGGTTACTATACGTATAACTCATATTTCATAGGTTATTACCAACCCCCCCACCAACCCCCCCCCCCAGCAGCCCTCAGCGGTGCTGTCATTTCCTTCAAAGCCGGGCGGAGCCTTACTAAGCCCTGCAAAGCCTTAGTAAGGCTTAGCAAGCATTGCTAAAACTTGCCGTTGCCAAAAGGTTTGTCAGTCATTCGCGCCCTTTGCTCTTCACTTAAAAATCGTGTCTCACAAAATGCAAACGATGTGAGAATCAGGTCCGTTTGAGTTCTCATTGTTTCGCGAAGCTTCATCTTGTCATTGTACCAGACATCCAGCTGGAGAAAGCTGCGGTAGGGCAGGGTAGGTGGGATACGGGTGGGGTAGTAGGCACGGGAAAACACGGCCTCACCAAGCCTGAGCAAGCCTCAGCAAGCCTCAGCAAGCCTTAGCAAGCCTTAGCAAGCCCTAGCAAGCCCCAGCACGCCCCAGCTAACCTCAAGACTCTGCAAGCTTCACCAGGCTTTCAGCCCGCCCAGTCCCCACCGCCGCTGCGCACCAGACACAACCGAGCACCCACCCCACTCGCAAACCCCAAACCCTCAAGACGTGTATTGGTGTATTTGGTCATTGTTGCTGAGCTACGAGAGCTGTTGAGGGCTGTTGGGGGGGGGTTGGAGGGGGGGTTGGTAGTAACCTATGAATATTAAGGGACTTATAACCCCGCTTATGACTACTACCCCTGAACCTCCAAGTAAACCCTGAACCCCTAAACTCCTAAGCCCCTAAACCCTAAACTCCTAAACCCCAAACTCCTAAACCCTAAACTCCTAAACCCTAAACTCCTAAACTCCGAAACTCCTAAACCCCTAAAGCCCTGAACTCTCTCAAGAGAAGGCTCCAGGCCACCGGGCGATCCGGCCCCCAACACGTAGGAGCTCAAGACCCCGATTGAGGATCGCCAGCTGCCTGCGCTGGGTTTAGCGTTGTTGAGGTTCTTTTTCTTAGGGGTTAGGGTTAGGGTTTAAAAGTTTAGGGTTTAGGGTTGTTTAGGTTTCTTTTAAAAAGAGGGGTTAGGGTTTAAAAGTTTAGGGTTTAGGGTTGTTTCGGGTTTAGCGGTTTAGGGGTTAGGGGTTTGGGGTGTAGGGTTGGAGCTTTAGGGTTTAGGGGATGGCCTTAGAGCCTGTTGCTAACGGGATTTTGCGTGTTTCGTTTTGCTAGTTCTTCTTCAAAGCTGTTGGTAATAGTTTGTCAAGAGGCTTTAGGATTTCAAAAGGCATTGCATAGGGGGCCTTAATCACTACAGTGGGGCTTCGGACTAATTCTAAGGAAACAAAGCGACATAGATCCGAGATGTGAAGGCTGCCCAGGTAGCGGGGCTCATGAATCAGGGGTCTGCACTCAGCCACACGAGTTGGGGTTTAGGACCCAATAGAACCGGAGTAATAAGGGTAGAAAGGATAGCGGACATACGTCCGAACGTATCATGAGCAAGAATAGCACTGGTGCTGACAATAGGAACAAATTATAGCGGTGCTGATAGGCTGAGCAACGGTGCGAATACTAAGGCCTACAGCTTTCAGGGCTGACGTACTTGGCCTACGGTTCGAGCCTCCTGATGCAGTCCAAAGAAAACTGACTGTTCCCTGATACCGCCACCACCATCATGTGCATCATCATCCCTGTCTCGCAACAATCATCATATGGATATCACCATCAGAAGCAACCACAACAACCTCAGCGGCAACGTCCCCACTACCAGCAGGCAAGTAAGCTCTGGTGCGCCCTTTCTCCGTCAGCTACAGAGAGGCAGTGTCGAAGGAGCGGGACCTGCATTTTCGGATCGGGGACTTCGTTGCAAAAGGGGGCTCTCCTAATCCTCTTTTCAGGGGTGTTGGGCTTCGAGTTGCTATTGTGGGAGGGCATTCTGGTGTTGAGGGTGCTGGCCCTTTTCCCTGAATCTGAGCTCTCCCCCGTCCATGTTTCAGTTCTCTGCATCGCGTCCTACTAGGAAGCGCGTTGTTCTCATCTGGTCTAGGGCTTGAACCCTGGGTTCTGCACGTTCCAAACCGATTTAACCCGATGTGGAGCACTGCTTGATCCCTCGGCGTTTGGTCGGGCATTTTGCATAAGCATGCGAAGTGCTTGCAGCAGTGCCCCGCTCGCATTTCCACGAAAAAGCTGAAATCTTCGGAAATGGTCTCATTGAAGATCCGCGACTCCACATCCCCAAGAAGAAACTTATGAATGCACACCTGCGGCCCGCAACCGCAAGCATCCGCAAGCTGAGCCAGGCCTCTTGAAGGAGCATACCACACACTCCTCGTTCTCAGAGTCGCTGAAGCTGCTGCAAGGGATGTGTATGAAGGTGTTCTTCCTGGCACATTGAAGCTGTGGTTGTGGGCCGTAGCCCTCCTGAGAAAAGAAAAACCCTGCGTGCTGCTTTGGGGCTAGAGCCGCCCTGATGCGGTGTCTGAGCTCAAGGGTTCAAAGTGTCGGTTCTGGCAGCGTAAGTGTCAGGCTATGACTTTGAAGATGTGGAAGGGCTCGCAATGATGACATTGGCGGTTGGCACCACGACTGCTGCTGCTGCTGCTGCTGCCGCTGCTGCTAATTTCGACAGCGACGACGGGCGCGACTGGCTGGAGGATCTGAGGAGTAGCTTTCACATGCCGATACAAGAAAAAAAAACCATCGCTGACCCGTAACATGTCCAAACATGCCAGGCGCACATCTGGATGCAATGGCCATCAAAGCTGCAGTGGGTGTTCAGGCGGTACTGCGAGCTGTCGTCGTGGAATGACGGGCCTCATTCAAGGTCGAACCCTCGAATTTCCGTGCAAGGCTGCAACCGCCTGCACTGGATGCTTGTCGTTGCAACCTACATGACATCGAGCACAACACCGAAGGCAACCCACATAAAGTACAGCCTGCAGCCCTTACCGTGCCCTGTCTATCCTCCATCTTCGGGATGCATCATGCGGGCAGACAACGCATCAACAGGGCCTTTTTTTTTCAGAGCAGGGATCGCTGATGCGAACACGATGTACCAATTTTCGGCACAACCGCGCCCAGAGAAAGCAATATCCGTCGGATCGGGGAATGAGCCCTGAAGAAACATATCCGAGTTTGTTGTTGTTGTTGTTTCAGGCTGATTCCCGAGTCAAGAGACATTGGGCGCTCTGGGTGGACTTTCGTGTGCAGGCGGCACTGACTGACAGTGCAAGGTCAATCGCTGTCCGACGGCGAACAGCTGAGCTCATGGAAGTCTCCTCGGAACATGGCTGCAAAGATGGTAATGCACACTCCACGACTGCCACTTTGTTTGTGCTTCACCTTTGTACTACACACTGCGCGTACATGAATGTGTCGGAGTGAAAGAGAGAGAGAGAGAGAGAGAGAGAGAGAGAGAGAGAGAGAGAGAGAGAGAGAGAGAGAGAGAGAGAGAGGGAGAGGGAGAGAGATGGAGAGAGAGAAGAGAGAGAGAGAGAGAGAGAGAGAGAGAGAGAGAGAGAGATGGAGAGACATAGAGAGAGAGAGAGAGAGAGAGAGAGAGAGAGAGCGAGCGAGAGAGAGGGAGGGAGGGAGGGAGGGAGGGAGGGAGGGGAGGGAGGAGAGAGAGAGAGAGTTAGAGGGAGAGAGAGAGAGAGAGAGAGAGAGAGAGAGAGAGAGAGAGAGAGGAGGGAGAGCGGGAGAGCGAGGGAGGGAGGGAGAGAGGGAGGGAGGAGGGAGAGAAACACAGAGAAATAGAGAGAGAGAGAGAGAGCTGATTCTTGCTCTGACCGTTGTGGTGGATGCTGCGGGCAGTAGCTAAACAGCCAAACATGCTGCTGCCGCTGCCGCTGACGCTGACGATGATGATGATGCGCCATGGTGACAGCGATGACCGCGGATGGCCCTGTCGACAATGGTACTGGGTCCAGCCAGCTCAACATGGCTGCTGGCAGCGATGTCGCGATGACCAGCACTTGCTATTGCTTTTGTAACCATGCTTGTCCTCAACGTGGATGCAAAGGGCAAGTATACGCAGATGCTTCATACCAGGAGCTTCTCATGCATTTGCAGCTTGCCGATTCAGTGCCTGGAGTCTGGGAGTGTCAAGCAAGACGGTGCGGAGGGCACAACTCCGGCGGGTCAGATCTCTTCCAGAAGACGCTTCAGTAAAGGACCGGCATAGCAGCGGGTGTGTCGGGTTTAGTAAGGTGCCAAGATGCAGTCCAGATTGCCCTACATCGGCTTGAGCGTCACGTGCACCTGCACCTGACTTGCCGATAGTCTCATGGTGTCAGGATCAGCACTTCATTTCTCAAGGCACCAAAAACCAAACGCAGGGGTCTCAATAACTAGAATTGGGTTTGCGGGTATCTGGTACTAGAATTATAATATGGAACCCTCAAAATTCTATTCAACTTATTGAGGCCCCTACGTTACCTACAACCTCAAGACAAGAGCTGCATTCCGCCTGTAGGAAGAGCGTTTCCTCTTCCAAATCCCCGTCCACCACCTGACGGCTTTCAACGAAGTAGGAATCTGTTCCTAGACCTAAAAGTAACCCAGGATTAGAAGGCTGCCCTTTTTGGTTTAAAGGGTTTATAAGGGAACCTGAACCCTAAAAAAGGGAATAAGGGCTTACTCTGGGTCGTACTTGGAGGTTCATGGGTGGTTATAAGTAGGGTTATAAGTCCCCTATCATGAAGTGAACGTATAGCTACCCTACTTATAACCCCACTTATAACTACCCATGAACCTCCAACTAGGTTCTCTTTTTGGGAGTTCAGGCTTCTGGCTTTCAGGCTTGGGGACTTTATATATATATATATATATATATATGTATTATATATGTATTATTTTAGTATATTGTACTATATTATATTATATTACATTATATTATATTATATTATACTTTATTATATTCTATTATATTCTATTATATTCTATTATACTCTATTATATTCTATTATATTCTATTCTATTATATTATATTCTATTATATTCTATTATGTTCTATTATATTATACTCTATTATATTATATTATATTATATTATACTATATTATTTACATGTATTAAAGGCTTCGGGGTCTTGGAGGTTCCTGATATCAAGGACAAGGGGTCCCCGGCTTTCTGACACTCCCACCTTGCTTCGGGTCACCTTCATCTGCTGCTGCATGAGAAGCATATCCACCTCGCAGAAACAGGAGCAGCACAACATGGAGGCCATTTTGCTTAGTTTCCTATTCATGATTCATACCATGATGTATCCGGAAACCCTATTGCACGCTGTAAACCCCGTATATTGGGGCTTGTCGTTTGCATCGAAATCGAAAATCTGCAACGCGTGCCTATCGAGTCCTAGACTGGTTGGAAGCACTGAAGCACCAAACGCATGGTCTCATCCATCGGAAATTTGCAAAGTACGAAGCCATGCGAATTGAGGATGGAAAAGTAGCAGAGGGTGGAGTTCGGCGCTTAAGATCGACCTTTCTGAGTTTAGGGTCCTCATTCTGATCTGGGGCTCAGGCGGAACCCGAAACCTTAGTATAGCATTCTGAATAATACGGCTTTGGGGTGATCGAATCCTTATGTAGGGACTGCAATCCCTATACTGCCTATACCCTAAATCCTAGCTCAGTCAACGAAGCTTTGTCGGTACGTGCCAGAATACGCGAGAAGGAAGAATCCGAAACCCCGCCCCGGTTGCACTCATCTACTGTAGGAACCTGATTAAGAAACCCTGGGCTGATAACCCACCCAAAATAGTCTAGACCCAAGAGTAGCCTAGGAATAAAAAGGGTGCCCTTTTTAGTTTAAAGGGGCTTATAAGGGAACCTGAACCCCCAAAAAGGGAATAAGGGCCTACTCTAGGTCCTAGTAGTAGGATTCATATAGAGAGCCCTAATAGAGGCCCAAGGTTTCTTAATCAGGTTCCTACATGACCGCTTCTCTCAAGATTCAGCAGGGCTTAAGCTTTGGGGTCGTATCCCCAAAGAGCCATAAAGAGCCATAAAGAGCCCTACCTTGCCTACCATTAGGGAGTTTCCGAAAATTAGGGGTACCTTATTTGGGGTTCTTATAATAAGGATTTAGGGTACTAGATTAGGGTCCCCTGTTTTCGGAAACTCCCATTAGAGCTCAACTTCATGGCCTTTTTGTATTGCATTCCTTGAACCGAAGTCGGCTCTGGGTCCCAAATAATGAAACTTTCAGGGTTGAGGGTTTAGGATTTTTGCCACCATTATGGAATTAGGTACCAAAAGAATGAAATTTCTAGGGTTTAGGGTTTAGGATTCTTTCCACCATTATGGACTTAGGGACCAAAAGACCATCCCCGCTATGGTTCTGGGGGCCTAATTCCATATCGGTAGTGTATATGGAATTTCTGGGTAATGAAATTTGCCACACGAAGCCATCATTTCGGAGCCTTTAGAATCGGGTTTTGGGGTTGCAAAATAGCGGAAGCATGTAGAGTCCCTAACGAAAATTCTCGGCAACGATCACGCTTTTAAATTAAGCCTCAACCCCTAAACCCTTAGCCGGACGCCCTGAGCACCTCCTTGGGCAGTTCACCCTTCTGGCCGCGGAGGGCCGTGGGATCCAATGAGTTCCTCGACTGCACCAGGAGAAACCCCACAGAATCGATGTGGACCCTGGTGATTTATTTTGAGAGCATTCTAATATCACTCTTTTGGGTTTTTCGGGACATATTGTTTGATTCCGTTCAGTAGTATCAGTCTGAACTCTGCCGTTGCCCTTGTGATCGTTGTGGTTATATGCGTGAACGTGCCTGTGGAAGCGGCGGTAGTGATCATGTTGGTGATGAGGAGCAATGATAGGCTTAGCCATAAAGATGATAATCATCACGTGGAGGAGGACGATGTTGATGCCAATGTGCATGACGATGATCAAAGGCGAAGAGGCAGGAAAGGAACAAGAGGAGGTACGTAGTACCATGACATGAGTATTCCAGATCACAAAAAACATGAGCAGCGCTTTTCGGGCTGGCAGTGCAGTTTTGGGCTTTCGAGGTTGAAGAGTTCTTAGAGTGGAAGTTCGCCGGTTTGGGGCTCCAGGCATGCCGAGCATTTCTGTGCTTCTCTCTGTTGGTTGCGCTTGAACACTCGCGAACGTACCTGCCCAGAAGAGCCCAGCCTTTTGTCTAGCGAACCCTCGGCCTTTGGTTCGTTGTAACAGTGATCACGGAAGGGCCTGGAAGGAACCTGGTTAATAGGGGGACCTTAATGGAGAGAGAGAGTAGGGTTTTGATTAAGACTACAGGGGGATACCAGTACTACGTATTACAAATTCAGGATTGTTGCAGCGCTCTGTAAGTTTGTGTATCATGGTACCCATGACCTTCAGACTGTCTCTGTGGTTGAAGAGATTTGGCCAAAGCCCGACGCCCCCGACCTGGGCAACATAGGGCCTTAATAATTAGACTTGAGTCCTGGGGTTTTCAGATGTTCATCGTAATACGGAATCCTGGGGAATATCATCACGAACCCTAAGGAACAGGAGTACCAGTTGATTCATGCTTCTATTTAACACGACCACTTCGGGTTTATGGCTTAGGACTCAAACCAAGGTCCTGCAGCCTCAAGCGGTTCACATCGAGTTTGCTCGACAGTCTACGCTCCCCAGTCTGGTGCATGGGACATGCATTTCTGGTCTAGGATAGAACGCAAGGTGTGTTCATGCGCTGCATGTTTGTGCTTCAAACTCTAGGGTCTGGACACTTCAGCCGGAGACTTCGCACGACGTGTCATAACAACAAAAATATCAGTAATAGTAGTAATTGCAATCATAGTTTTCAGAGTGATACTAGTAATCAGCCATCTTGCCAAGATTCTGCCGGCTATTGGCCAATGCGAAGCCCACCTGCGAAAGGATGGGTCTTGGCACAATGAGTAAACTCACTAATCTGGATGCAAAAAACTGCGGTACGACTTTTTTCAATAACTGCATGAGAAGTGAGAAGCGAGCTCTTTCGTTCAGTCACAGGAGAAACGACGTCAGAACAGTTCACAATTCAGCGCTTTGATGGTTAGAGCGGGGTTGCGGGGTCTCGATCTGCATAGGCACTCCTTAGTTGCTGAGTTCATAAGCTCCCAAAAAGTGTACACTTTCAGTTTTACAGGGGGTAGTATTGTCCCAGAAAGTGTAAAGTGTATCCACTCAGCTACGAAGACTCAGGATGACTGCTGCGAGTTATGTAAAATGTCAGGCTGTGCGAGGATGACAAGGTCGAGGATGGCATGTTTAGATCTGCTTCGTATGCAGGTCAATGCTTGGCTTCAGGTGGGGCACGTATAAAGGGGCCTGAAAAAAGAGAACGGGGCATGAGGACATCTTTGAATATTATTGCAGTAAGAGAAGGAAACCAAGGGACATTCTTGCTCCCTGCATTTTTGGGCTGCCAGCCTTTGTCTGCTCCCAATCGTAGACGGTGTAGTAACCTTGAAGCTCTGCAGTTCACGGAGTTTTCGTTTCTGTAACGCTGGTCGAACCATAACAAACATGCGATGGTTGATTAATCGGGTTTTTCGATTTTTGCAACTAAAAGATTTCTGAGCACGCACGGAAACGCGACAGCCATGTCTCAGGTTCTTTTGTAGATATCGGCAGACTTAACGTTCCAAACCCTCAGCCCCGCACGAACCCACCCAAACCTGTAAAGCCCAAACCTATACCACCAAGCATATAAACATAGATAAGTTCAATGGGTTTTGGCTGTCTCGTCGTTTATGCATGTTATGTAATGAGAAACTCTAGGGAAACCAAGTGTCGAATTTTTCCGACCCCTATCCTAGACCCTGTACCTAGGGCAACCTTAAGTCCATAGTGACCTCAACAGCAGAGCGCTGGGAAACCTTGAAGAACTCCTAAAGCAAATTCAATCAAGAACCCATAGAACACCCTACAGCCCTGCCAGAAACCAAATACAAATAATTAAAACCCTAAGAATGGAACCACCGTAAATCCCTATGAGAGCACCAAAAAACACCATAAACATCACTAGAAAACAGAAAAACACTGACAAGCAACTGCAATGGCACCACCTAAACCCTAAACCCTAAACCCTAAACCCAACCGCCAGGCAGCGATGAAGCACAGGTTCTCCAAGGATGAAAAGCTTTGGGCCCAGGGGCTCTGGCAGCTTCACCTTAAGGCCGTTTCGGGTTTCGGGTTTAGGGTTTAGGGTTTAGGCGTTTCTTTCGGGCTTAAACCAAGTATATTGAAACTGGCTTTTGCTTAGTTCAAGAATGAGTCTTAATACATGTTCTTATAACAGAGCTTTCGTAAGTTGAACGGTGCGTTGTAGGGCTTAGAGATTAGGGCAGCTTCAGCTTAAGGTCTTTCAAGGGCCTTTCCCGGCTTGTGAGGGCTGTTCAAGGCTTCAGGGTCTTTCGTGTCTTCTAGGGCTTTCAGGATTTAGGAATGTTTGCGGCTTTAGTTTCATCGTGAAAGCTCTCACGGGTCATTGTACGGCTTTCTGTCAGTGTTGCAAGGGTTTGAGGAATTCACGTCTGAGGTTCAAATTTTACATACAAGGTCATTTGGGATGCGTTCACAGGCTTCCAGGCAGCTTCCGTTTTGGTGTCCCCTACAGTAACCTAGTAACCTTGTCACAACCCTTGTAATTAACCCTAAACCATAAAACCCCCAAACCCTACACCCCAAACCCTAAACCCCAAACCCTAAACCCCACACCCTAAACTCCCTAAACCCTACAGCCTAAACCCTATTATGGTACATCTTCGGTTCCTTCGGCTTCACTGTCTCAGGGTTCTGAAGGGTCCATGCATGGGATGCTGAGGGCTTGTAAGCTCTCAGGGCGAAAAAGGGGTCGCTAGATCTGCTAAATGCTGCTTATCCAGCCAGCCACTTCTTCTTCTTCTCCTACTACTACTACTACTGCTGCTACTAATACTACGTACTGCTTCTCAAGGCTCGAATCAGGAAACCGGAATCGGAATTTTTGACAACCTCAACAACAAATACTGAACCGTAAGCCTTAAACTCCTCAACCCCTACTAAACCCTATGAGCGGCGCTTCAATCGCAACCTCTGCAGAACCGACGAGCTGTAAGCATCTAAGTCATCTTTCCTCCAGGTCACTGCCATGAGTCTGGGGCTGCAATGCCGCTCCACCGGCAGTTCGGAGTTATTCCTTTCGTCAGGCACCCCTTAAAGCCCCCTTTAAGGCTCCCTTTAAGCCCCCTTTTAAGCCTCCCTTGAAGCCCTCCTTGAAGCTGCCCCTTTTTGGATTTCAGGCTTTAGCACTGGGTGGTGAGGACTCGGAGTTGTGGGGTCGAGGAAGGTTTTGGGATTTGAGCTCCTTGGTTCGGAAGCTTTTGGCTTTCGGGGCTCCTGACAGTCTTGCATGACTCGAGGACGTTGTTGGCGATTTCGCTCAGATGGGTCTGTGAAAGCCTGCTTCTCTGTGGTGTTTGTCCAAGTCTCAAGAAGGATCTGTCGTGTGCATGTTCCAGCTTTTTGGTGCGATGTGCCTGTGAGGCGCAGATGCCATGGAAAGGTTACACCAACGCGTGATCAGGCCATTTGCCCGTTTGTAAAGTTCATAAGGTCATGACTTCACAATCAATGCAACAACAACAACAACAACAACTGCAAATATCATTAAACCACATCTGTCAACATGTACATGGTCAAAGCTGCGCAAGGACACTCCCTAGGAGTCTTACTTGGTATATAGCAACATTGCAACAACCATATATCAATCTTCCGGTATCCTTGACTCTAACTACGACTACATTTTCTGAGCATACTTGGGTTGTAGACCCCAAGCAACCCACTATTCCTCCAACCTCGAAACACAGAACCTAAACCTAGCCCTTCAACCCCCCAACTTGAATCGTGAACCTCAAACCCCACACACTTTGTGAGCATTGCAGAATGTTATTTCGGCCGGGGCTCCCCTGTGCCGACACGGGAGGTGATGGCGCAGCTGCCATGCCATCTCCTTCAACACTTCAACGGAGTCTTTAAGGGGATCCTTGAAGGGATCTCACCAACAGATCCGCCACACCAATTCGTTGCAACAGGACATACCTTTAAAAAGACTTTGAGACAGGAGCTCTCAAGAGGTTTTGCTTTGAAGCCCACTGCAAAAAGGGTCCGGCCTTGCAGGAGCACCACAGACTCCGATGAAGGAGTCGCGGCCTGCTTCAGCTGCACACCTGCAACCGTTTGAGGTGGGAGCTGTTTAAGATCGGCATGGAGTTAGAGGTGTGCTTTAATTAAAGGGTTCTATACGGGACTCTACCTGCAGCCGTTGAGGTAGGGGCTGTTCAGGGTCAACATGGAATTGGAGGATTCCTTTAATTAAGGGTTCTGCGCTGTTGTTGCAAGGGGCTTGAGGGCTCTACCTGCAACCGGGCTTGGGTTCAGGCAGTACTGCTCTCGGGTATAGGGTTGTGGTTTAGGGGCTTGGGGTTTAGGGTTGTGGTTCAGAATTGTATGAGGTTGTCGGGCCATTGCAGGGTAATGTAGGAACCCGATTAAGAAACCCTGGGCCGATAAACCCCCAAGCAGCAATATTCATATAAAGAAACATAATAAACGCCCAAAGTATCTTAATCAGGTTCCTACATTAAATCCTAAAACCCGAAACCGTGATAGTACCCTTATAGTACCCTTTAAAGGGACCCTTAGTTCCTAAATTACTAGGATTCTATGTAAGGGGTTCCGGCGAGGGCTTGGGAGCTTCAAGGTTCAGCCTACGCCTTCTTCGGGAATCGAAACAAAGACCCTCATTCATAGGGATCCTTAGGGGTGTAGGGGGATTATACTATAATAAAATATATAAATCCTGCACTACCTTAAGGACCCTAGACTATGGGAATTATGGTATATTCCTCATTATGGGTAATGCAGGATTTATATCATCAACCGTAGGGATCCTTAGGGGTGTAGGGGGGAGGGGTGTAGGGGACTATATTTCCTTAAATAGGCCTTATTCGTCTTTATTATGGGCCTTAAGGCCCCCTACCCCCCCTCCCCTTACAGCAAGCAGGTGCTAACCCCACACCTCATACCCTATACTCCCCCCTACACTTTTACCTCAATTCTCAAACCGCCTAACATTTCAACCCTTAAATCCCTGAAAACACAAAGCACCTCCCAACAATCAATACAACAATCCCGAAACAAAGCAACCTACCAAACCCAATACAACAATCCATAACACAATCCAAAACCCAAAGCACCTAAACAAACCCTACCCTCAACCATTCTACACCAATTATCCTAACATGAGGTGTGGGGTAAGACCCTAATAGAAAAATCCCCCTAAAGCCCATAACCTGTCCCATGAATGACATGACATAGAATAATAACTACTGCAAAGAATAGTTATTATTGTATGTTCCCTTCATTTTGTTGGTTTCCCTTTCTCATATTAAAACACAATATCTAATATGCTCTCTCTTGGTCGTCAAACTTAATCTCATAATATTCTAATGTCTCCTTCTTTGGAAACTTGATATCTTTGTTGTTGAGTTTCTTAACATATACACTCCTTTTGTTCTTATAAACATCACTATCTTTCCCCATTGGTTTTTTAACTGGTCTAGGCATCTCTTCGTTAAGTTTGTTTACTGCTTTTTCAATTAGTTCTAACTTATCCAATATCTTTTGAAATCGCGTTGCCTTCGTTTCTTTAAGGTCGCGAATGCCTCGCGAGGCATCTGCCGATGCGTCATCATCTACATCGCTCATGCTATATAAAAGTTTTAGATTAAAACTTTTTTTAAAAGTTTTAATCTAAAGTGCTTTTAAATATGTAGTTAAAGACTACATTTTAACATATGCCATTTTGTATTTGTTCATATTGTCTAAACATCTCCTACATAATTTATTGTATTCTATGTTTTTGTTCCTACTCTTGAAATAATGATGATTTCTACATATCTTACAACTCGGACAATACCGTATGTCATCTAAATTACATTCACAATGGCATTTATCATACACATAAAACGATACAATGATTTCATCTACATATCTGACCATATATTTAATTGATTTTATAATAAAATTAGAAAGCCAATTCCTTAATGCTTTAACGAAACTAATTAAGCACCTGCTTATGAGATGCTATTGAATGTTCCAGCATTACTTCCCTTTCATGCGACCATCCAATGTGAAACGAAAGGAGCTGGGGTCTATCTTCCAAACGGCATACTCGCCCTGTCATCATTAAATACACTTTTATTCTTAAATATCAATCCATCATATTCAGATTAGTTTTCAACATGTTAATATCTTTCTTAACCCCTCTCATATCTTCTCTTAATTCTTCTAACTGCTCTTCTGTCTCTTCTGGCGTAATTTGATTTCCTGTTCTTCCAAAACCTGTATCGCATATAGATATGTTCCCTAATTGTGTGTTGTCGTTTGTAGTTTTGAAGATTTCATCTGACGGAGTAATTCCCCTGCGTTTTCCCATTGAAAAGGATGACCTGTCTTCAACAATTGTTAAAACTTCTTTGTTTTCATCTTTGGTATGCTTTGTTTCTTTATGATATAAATGTTTTCTACATCTACAAGGGAGACAATCAAGACTGGTAGGTGTTAATGAAAATCCACCATCTTTTTCATTCTTATCATCCATTTACATTAATTAGATTTTAATTTAAAGTGTTGAATAACTGCTTTCAGCACCTCTAATATACTATAACAACATCTACGGTATTTAGGAGGTGTTATTATTTGTTCTATCTTCTCTATCTCGTCTATAACTTCTAAATAGTCGTCATAATCGCTCATATATTAATAACGATATAATTTTTCTATGTATTAATAATAATGTCGGATATACCAGTTGTAAAACCAGTGAATGTTAAAGAATATGACTTTAAACAGTCTAAATATGAAGTAGCACCTAAATTACCTTTTTCGCAAATAATAACAGGTCCGAGTGGTTCAGGAAAAGGAATATTACTACAATCTATGATATTAGATATTTACAGAGGCGTCTTTGAAAGGATATATATTTGGTCTCCTTCAATCTCAGTTGATAGTAATTGGACACCGGTTAAAAAATACATTCAAGACGAGCTGAAGGTTGATTTAGAAAAAGAAAAATGCTTATTTGATGAATACATACCGGAAGAATTAGACAATGTTATTAAAAGACAACATAAAGTAATAGAATACCAGAAGAAGAACGACCATAAAAAACTGTTTTCTATTCTTATTATAGTAGATGACTTCGCCGACAGTAAAGCTTTTTCAAGAAACTCACCTTTGTTAAATCAGTTGTATGTTAGAGGAAGACATAATGCCTGTTGCATAATAACTGCCACGCAAAAGTATAATGCGTTAAGTCCTATTATTCGCGTCAATAGTAGACAGTTGTTCTTTTTCAGATTAAGGAACTATCGTGAAATAGAAACAATGGTTGAAGAGTTAAGCGCGGTATTGATTAAAAAATCCACCGTTGCAGATACTAAAAACCTTGCAGAAGCAAAGAAGTTATTGTTAGAAGTCTATAACATAGCAACAGAAGAACCGTATAGTTTCTTGTTTATTAACTTAACGAAACCGGATGTAAATGATATGTTTTATAAAAGATTTGATGCCAAATTAGTGATTGATTAATAATATTATTTATTCACACTATTATTAACTAAAATAATGAATAACTGCACAAGTTTATAGCAGGTAAGCGATACAATATTTTATCACTCTTCTTTTCTTTTACTTCTTTTAGTTCCTTTATCATTTCTTTCAACACTTTAATTTGTAATCTATCAATATTACTCAAATCTAAATCATTTTCGTTAATACTGTTTATTTGATTAATACAATCATTCTCACTATCTTTTGATATTCTACTACCCATATTATACTATAACTTATATTTAATTACTATCGCTTTTATCGCCTTTGCCTTTACCCTTCAACTTATTTACTTCCTTTTTCAATTTTTCTACTTCATTTATTGTTGCCTGTAAAGCACTCCATAAAATCGGTGTAGTAATTGTGTAGTCAAACTTCAAATAACCATCAGTTCCTTCCTTGACTAAATTCTGCCATTCATCTGGCAACTTCTTCGTTTCCATAAAATCATTAGCAATAAATCCACAACACGATTTACCTTTTTGTCTGTCATTAATGAAATGATATGTTTTTGGTTTAATATATTTTACTAATTCAACTGCTTTTTTGCTATTTAGTTCCTTTATATCTTTCTTTAGTCTTTTATCTGATGATGGTATTAATGACCCCGTATATGAAAGGTCGCCGTAAACATCAACGCCGTTATTTGTTGCATCTAACCTTGATAAATTATTATTACTTAATCTAATCAATCCGTCATTATCTGGATTATTAATTAACACTCTTTGTTGTCCTGAAACATCAGTATTTGTAATTTCTAGTTGTCCGACTAATGTAACTTTACCTTCCGTTAATTGTATTTCCGGTGTGCTTCCTATAGTTCCTATGATAAAATTAATTGCTCTATCTGTATCACCATTTCTTATATCTAAATCATAATCGCTTCCATTTAATGTTTCTTTAATGCCTGATGAATGTTGAAATAATATATCACCCCATACTCTTAAACTTGCTTCTGCTGTTATATCACCAATACTATTAAAAGTTAGATTATTTGTGACTGCTCTGTTTAACGTTATTCCGCTGGTGTCGGTTAATTGCAGTGCTATTGTTGCTGTTGTTGGGTCGGTTGCTCTGTTTGCTTGAAATGAGAAATTTATTTCATCATTTGTTATTAAATTTAAGGAATTATTAGCGTCTGCTCTCCTATATATTTTGCCATTATTCCATATTAATATCTCATTGTTAAAAGTAGTAGCTCCGTTAAACCTTACGGTAGAACTAAAGTTAGAATTGCCACCATTCACATTAAGAACATCTGTAACTGCATTAGCTCCTATCCCTAACTTATTACATCTTACCGCGTTTGAATTGTTCATATTTAAAAATAACTGTTGTGAAGTGTCATTGGTATTATAAGCATCAATACTAAAACCTCTAAATCTAATTTTTCCACTATTATTAGCAATCGCTACAACGTTACTGGCGTCTGTTGTTGGCTTGTAAATTGTTAATCCTGAATTATTAGAAATATTGAAATTATCAGTTTCATAAAATATATTATCTTTAAAATATGTAGGTTTAAATAATGTTGTTCCACCCGTTGTATTGTTGC